CAAACTTTTCTTCATCCATAAAAACCCAGTTTATAGGTCATTTCCACCATGAAGTCATCTATGATCGCTTCTGTCTCCTTCACTTGAACTTAATTCCTTTACACTCTTTATGAACTTTTTTGTGTTGGTCTATTTACCATGATAACTTACATTTTATTTGTTTGCATTTTCTTTCCTTTCACACAACTGACAGTTTCTTGAAGACAGTGACTATCTTTAATTCATTTCTATATCCTGGAGCCTAGCATAGTGCCTGGCATATTGTAGACAATCAAAAATATTAATATTTATTAAATGCAAGCCATTGCTGAAAACAAACAGCAAAGTATTGGTAATTATTGAAGCTAGATGATGCATCCATGGTAGTTCATTATACTATTTTCTATATTTTTTTATGTGTAAAATTTCCAAAATAAAAAGTTCAAAATAATTGAAGACCTCTCAAGATGTCAGGTAACTTAGCAGAATTTTTAAGTTCCTACCACTAATGGAGCTACTATATCTATAGCTACAACCTCTGTGTTCCCCACATCTATTTCTTTTCTCATAAGAAAGATATTTAAAACCAAACAATGTTACTCTGCAATAAAATACAATTATACTGCTTCAGAACAGCTTCAGGCCATGGATATCATATTAAATGAGAATTTCTGGCAAAACTGGAAACTGACAGTTCATGCTAAGTATTTTATTGAGGAAGGAATTCTGTGGATTTTTGTCCTCATCTGACATGCTATAGAAGTATAACTATATCTCTGTTTCTACTCTCTTACCTCTGAATTCATCTTCACCTACTTCTAGGTTCATCTGCCAAAAACATGGATCTGTCTCATCTGTTCCCCCAAAGTTGAAGACTTTGAGTCAATGGCTTTTCAATGGTCAGGAAATAAGTGTACACTCCCAGGGTTGCAGCCCAAGTAACCCGTCCAGGCAAATCTTTCATTTTAATGTTCTGAGACTCATGTGCTACAAGCCATACACGATTCACGGCCCATATCCATGCAAACCACTCACTGTCAGTGATTAGGGTCACAGCTCAATCTCTCTGCTTAGCCTGGAATCCTTTTCTTACATTCTCCAATTTAGGAAATGCTTCTCCCACTCCAAAATCCTGTATAATTGTTTTTTTTTTTCTCCACAAAATCTTCCTTGGACCCCTTTCTAGAATGTACCATTCCACCTACGCCTGCACAGACCATTGCTTGGGTCTATATGCAGCATTACTCCCTTCTTTCTTGTTTGGTAATTACTCTCCCTTACCAGAATGTAAGCTTACTGAGGGTACTTTCCCTTACTGTTCATCCTGCACCTTTGCATCATCTCAGTCAATACCCAACAGAGGATCCTGAATGCATTAGAATTCAATATGATAATATTATATGCTAGTATTACACACTATGAAATGATGAGATTAATCTTGTGAGTAGTTTTATTATTAATTTTTATTTTATTTTAATATTACATACTATGGAATGATGAGATTAATCTCATGAGCATTTTTTCCTTGTCCCCCTTACTGATAACTGGATATGTGCAAAACCTCAAATCATCACACCGAAATCTCATTAGTCATTTTAATCCTTTGTGCAAATTGCTTTTGCTTCCTAAGTCATGAATTTCAATTAAAATAATTTTTTAAAAATAAGACTTTTATCAAAATTGGAAATTAATTTAAACGGGAGAATTGTTTTTCTTAACCCCTTTCTATCCATGATTAATGCTCACCAGCATTAGAGATAATACCAAGATAATATTACTTTATCTCAAATGGGCCCTCTTATTCACATAGACTCAGAAGTACTTTGTAAACTAATTGATGTGCGAAACCACACTGCAGAAAATACTCTACGATGGGCCCATTGAAGTATTGAAGTATCATTTCCTTCTGAGGACAGCATACAAACTCATTGTTGCCTAAAGGTAGCTTAAGCTTCTGTTCTGGGCCTCATCATCTTCACTTCTCCACCAGAAAACAAAAGAAAAAAGAAAAAAAAAGTCTTATTACCTGTCTTACTAGGGGGTCATATTTTCTAGGTGGTTCAATCTCAGAGAAGTTTTTAATAATTTACATTGTGATAACCTTCGCTAGCCTTTATTATTTGTAGCTAGAAAGGACAGCACCGATAACCTAACCGACACCCTTTTTTTGCGTGGTTTTTTATTTAGCTGCCTTTTTTTCTTGATCCTCTTCTTGGCTGGTGATCAAAAAGTTCCAAATTCTGTTTCTTTTTACAAACTGTCATAGTCTGAGAAAACAAAGGCAAGAGGCCAAGGCCAGAATTCTCAAGTTCTTATGGGACCTCATTGTTGAACTTTACTTGGACTGGACATTCATTGTGATTGAATATGAGTCACATACAGTCAAAATTCAGTGCAGACCTTAGAGAAAGGGGCTCAGGAGATCATTTAATTTGCTTTTGTCCTAATCCTGCCTCTAATATATGATAAAGATCAGTGGTCTGGCTTAGCTTGCTTATGTCTCATGCTTGGGTTGGAGTCAAAGCTTTGTGGAAATTACATGGCTATTGTGTGATCATATTTCCTATATATATATATATCCCTCAGATACTTCACCTGGTATTAATAGCCAGTTCAAGACAAAATTAAAGAAATCAGAAAATTTCCCATGGGTGTTTTCATTTATTCCCTTTCCCAATATTAGGGAAGATTTGTAAAAGAAAAAGTATGTTGTAGTAGAAAAAGCACTGGACAGGATTGATTCGGTAATTTTTGGTTTTTGTTCTGCCTCTGCCCCCAGTTAGTTTTGCCTTGTGAAAAATCAGTTAACCTCTCTGAGTTGCAGTTGTCCCTTGTGTCTAAAGAGAGAGTTGTACTAGACCAGCACTTCCTAACATGTATTTCAGAAGGAAAAAGGACCAACTCATTAAGTAAATACCTCATGTCTGGTGGTAACCTGCATCCTTGTGTTTGGCATGATCAAAGCTTCTACATGGAATCAAAAGTTTCCCCAGTTTACTGGACATTTCACATAGTATGTATAAATATGTAGGCACATCTATATATGTGTGTGTATAGAACTATAGATTCATAGATGGCTGGGGATATCATTCGGTTAACCATCCCAAGGAAGACATTTCAGATCAACTCAAAATTCTATAATGCTAGTTGGAGGGAGTCAGGTTTACAACTCTACTTTTCATATTGTTGGAAGTCAAACCTGAAAACCTTCAACTTTAAGTGGCATAAAACAGAACTTGAAGAATAAAAACTGAGTCATTGCCAGGGGTCTTAAACTTGAGACTTTTGACATTGAATTTCTATATCATCAAAATGAGCAATAAAAGAACTGTACACTGTCCTCATAGTGCTGTGAAAGTTGACTTCCTCAAGTACTAAGTCGTGATTCTCCTTCAGAATACCACTCTGCAACCAAACTACCTTGAGTATAGTGTGTTAAAGTTGGGGGCTATGGCTCAACCAAGTCCACAGAACAAAAACTGGTAGGGTGATGAAATAAAACAGAAGTACATCATTCCAGTCATAGAAATTGAAGTTATCTTACTTGTATTTCGTTAAGACACCAACATTAGTTCATTGAGGCAGAAATCTCAAGAGAATGCTAGATTGTTGTATAACATTGAAGAAGCTTGCGTATGCATTGTTTTACTTCAAGGGTTAAATAAAATTATTCTGTAATATGAGAAAATGGAAAGAATCCAATTTCTGAAGTTTTAATGTTATTGCAATATTATTTTTATTGTGCCTAAGCAGAACTTGTCATAGATTGAGAATATATTAATGAAGATATGGAAATTATATAAGAATTTCTTACGTTATGTTGGAAACAGTTACAACCTAACTAACCTTTCTTTGTAGAAAAAAGGACTTTCTGAAAATAAGATATATTGACCATTATTAACATATTAACAGAAACAACCTGTATGCCAGATGTAGTTTGGGATGGTGTCATCTTAGCTAACAGGTTTTAGCTCTTATAGTTAGAAAGATTATGAAAGCATAGGCAAGTTTAAATATTTCCATCTTTCCAGATTACACAAAGCATGAGAAGTAAATACAACTCAGCAATAAAATATCATATTCTTATCTGGAAGGAATACTAGCAAGTATCTAAGGGACTTTGTTCTTTGACTAGGGAAGAAAGGAAAACTTGGATGTAGAATTGACATCAAATGATTCATATTTAAATGATTCAAAGTATGTTATTTGGTAAAAAACATTGTTTCATCAAAATGTGTGTGTTTGCATGTGTATATTACATACATTTAGATATATTTTCACATAGTTACAGCAAAGTTAATCAACTTTTTAAAACTCTCCAATCTTTGAATAACAAAAATCATTTTGGACAGCAAAAGTAAAATTTATATTAGATGGATATATTATTTATTTGTAGCAACAGTGCTATGGTTATATATGGGTTCCCCCTCGTGAGACAAATGAGCAATGAGGCTCACTGGGGAATGTAAATGAAACACTTTTGCAAATTAAGTGTTCAAAATACCTATTTTGCTGAGCACTCATTAACTCAATTTTATACCAAAAGCTTACCCATTTTATATCATAATCAACAACCCGGCTCCACCCCCGCACCTCCTAACTAATGAGGCACACACAGATATTTTCCTCACAAATCAAAATACTTTTCCAGAAGATAGAATTACTAATGACATTAAATTGTGGCAACCAACATGAACTTGACAACCCCAAACCAAACTGGATTGTCACCTCATGGGAGAAAATCCCAACTTCCCACCTTGGAAACATATTTAACACGAGAAAACACCATAAACCCAAATAGGTTTCACATAGAAAGAAAATGACACAATATCCCTTCCCTTCCAGTGTCAAATGTCTAGGTAAACCGAAACGAACTGTCCAGTCGCTAGGTTGCCCTATGTCAAGCATGCATATTTTAAAACTTTTACTTTGGGTATTAAGCCTCCTCAACTTCTGCAGCATCTGTATCCAGTTCTGAACCAGACCTGACCAACAGCACAGACTGGGAGCGACCACTTTACCTTCCGAAAAATCAATCAGTCCCAGCAAATGAAGCAGCTTCAGAGATGCACATATAATCACAACAATACCCACTGTTTGCAGTCCTTCAGACTCCCACTCCAGAGTCAACATCCTCTAAGCTGGCAGAGCATCCCAGCCTCCGGACCCCTTTGGAGCTGGGAGGGAGCTAATTAGAGAAGCGGAGCAGCGTCTGGCTTGGAACAAAGACTTGCAAGGGGGAAAAGTGAGCAGCTCCTCGCAGATGCACCCTGCGAAGCAGGCGGCCCCCCGGGGTGAGGACAGACCTGGGCTAAAGTCCAGCCTCTCATGCTGATCCTGGCATTTGCTTGGCAGGGCTCCCCCCAGCCACAGCGCACCGACCTCTCTCGCCTCTGCGCTGCAGCCAGCGGGCTAGTACTTCGACTTCAGAGCTGAGAGTTCTCCACATCTGTTGGAGAACTGGAGACTTAGCAATGTCCGCGGAGAGCAGGGACACTCCCAGGAGACTTGCCCTGGAGAGCACGGTGGCGCTCCTCTGCCGAGGACGCGAGGCTGGGGCAGGTCTGTCTGCGCGCTAGTTTGCTGCCTGGGAAGCTTGCGAATGCCCCCTTTTTGCCATGGCAGCTGCTCTCTCCTCCCAGAGCCTCCTCCCGGGAGAAATCTCAGCCCCCTCTCTGGATGCCAGGAAAGGAAATCAGTGCTGGTGGCTGGTGCTCACAGCCCCTTCAGAAAGCCCCAGTGGAAGAGCATGGGCAGCTTTTCTAGGGACAAAGTGCCAGAGTGGAGGATCGATGATTAAGTGACTTTGTCAAGCTGCCCCCTGCCACTCCACTTGCTGTTGTGGTCTGCGCTGACAGGTGGGGGACATTATTAGGGAGGTCGATTTAGCCCTTACATTTACAAATACATTTACAAACGCAGACGGAGGGCGGGGTGGAGCAGCGCCCTGTGAGAACTCTGCTCTTGGGTAACTGCCCCCTGGAGGGTGGGTGCCACTACTGCTCTTTAAAGTGTAGCCTCAGCCTCTCTCAAAGCAAAGTTTCACAAACTTCCCTGATATTAAAAACGACCTGGGGTGCTTGTTAAAACACTCTACTGTGGAGAGTGCGATTCAAAGGAGCCTGGAGTCCGTGCTGTTAAAGGAGAAGCGCAGGTGACTCTTATCCACTGGGAAGTGTGTGTGGGGGTGTGCTGTCCCCAGGCCACTCCGCATGGCAGGGCAGCTGTGTGGGCATGGTCACAGGCTCTGGGCTATGCCAGGTCCACAGTGGCTTAATCACTCTGCTGGTGATCTCTGCTCTGCAGAAGCCAAACCTGACAAGGGAGGTGAAGAGAATCCACTGGGACTCTGTGTGTGTGAAAGAGTTTTTAGCAAGTGGAACTCACTGTGAAACATAAGGGCTTATGAGTAACATCTCAGACCCCCCGGGGCACATTCAGTTCTGCTTCTTATTTGTTTTGTGATCTTCTGCAAGACACTTAACCACTGTGAAAACAGTCCCTACCCTGAGAAGTCAAGATTATAATATCTCCTCCAAAGTTCTCCATTTAAAGGAAATTGTGGGGATTAAATGTGGTCAAAATATTAGTTAATTTACTAAACATTTACTATGTCCTCATCAATATTATAGTGATTTATCAACAATGACTCATCCCCATAGCTCTATGTGGTAGGTACTATCAACATCTTCATTTTATAGGTAAGGAAACAAAAGCATAAAGAGGTTAATTTACTTGCGGAGCTGTGATCATAATGCCTGGAAGGTGAGAGGCATTCATTCATTCATTTGTTCATTGACATTAATGAAGCTGCTGCTATGAGCTACGAATGGTACACGCATGATAAAATGATGAAAAATGCCCAATCCTACCCTTTGTGGGGCTTACAGTTTAATAGGGGGGGCAGGCATGAAGTGGGATGTGATCAATAAACAAATGCACCAGCACTTAAGCAGATGTCTCTTCAGGGCACAGTGGGTGCACTGGATGGGAAAGCTAGCTCCATTTGGTGACAGGTGGTGGTGACAGGAAGGAGACTTACAGAGGGGGTGACCATCAATAATGGTAGCCTGTTTCATGACTGGAAGTAGCACGCCATATTTAAGCTCTGGGGTAGGTAGACCTGGGTTAAATCCTGGTCTGTCTCTTGCTTGCTGTGTGATCTCAGGGAAACTGCTCCATCTCTGAGTCTCAGTTTTCTCAGTTTAAAATAGGAATGTTACTGCCTCTTTTTAACGGCTGATGGAAGAATTAACTGAGCTTGTGGGGAGGTTAGCCCAGTCCCTGATGTCCCTGCTTTCCCCGCCAGTACATGGTAGCTGTGGGATTATGACGGATGTACCAACTCTTTAGAGGCTCTGCAGGGTCTCCTTGGAGAAAGTGACTTTGCTCTTCCCTGGTTTTCTCTCCTGCTCCAAGGTCTAGTTCCAATCTTCTTCCCATGAAGACTTGTTGATCAGCACAGCCCACAGGGCTGTTTTTCTTCTCTGGGAATCAGAAATACACCTCGGCCACCAAGTTGGTCCTGATAATGGTCCTTTTCATTTCGGGTAATATATTTATGAGAGATATCTTTGTACCTATCCACCCAACTACCCATCCATCCATCCATCCATCCATTTTGTTTTCAGTTGTATCAGAAAGCTAGTGGAGGGGAAGTAGATCTTAGTAGTTGATGGGAAAAGAAATGCTTTCAGTAACCATTCTCTGAAATTCCCACCAATATTTAGCTATGCAAAGTCCAAAGTTTAAAAGAAATTAAAGAAATGAATTTGGTCAAGTCAAACGTAAACTTGCCTTTCAATCCTACATAATACCATATTGTAGTTGAAAACAAAGTACAGAGAGGGGTCACACAATTGGAAAACCCAGAATTCAAACATCACTTTGGCTTCCAAATTCATGCTTTTCTCTTTATACCTATCAGCAGCTTTCATCAAACATTTGTCAATCAATTTCTTGATTTAGAGAAATTAGCGAAAGTATTTTAAAATTGGCCACATCTCAATTTCCAAGGATGAAATCTCCACCATCCTTGACATTCACATAAAGTTCCATGGATGTGATTTTTGTTGATTTCAGGCAGGTTTTACCATTCAGTACAATGGCATTCCCAATTTAGAATCCACCAGCTGAGTGTGGTGGAGATCTAGCCTGTCTCTATCATCATGAGCCACCTTTACTACTTGGTTTTCTGAGCTCTTCCTCTTGGCTCTGGCTATAGGATCTTCTGGCTCTGAAGGGTGTCATGAGCTCTTTTACATGCACCCCCCAAGATTTTGTAAGGTAACAGCACCATAAAAAGAGTTTCATGCTTCATCTGAGAAGTCTAGGGAAGTATGGGACATTTAGGGAAGGATGTTTTTCTAGGACTACCCTGGGAAAAAATAGTTGGCTGCATATTATTTTAAAAAGTAACTCCAGATTATGGCTCAATCATTTTGTTGCAGTAACTTGCAACCAGTTTGTTATATATAAATAAACTCAAGTTTTTCCCTCCTCATGCTCATCTGCCCTTCTCCCACCCTTTTTTTTTTTTTTTTTTTTTACATTATAATGGTTGTCTAGCAGAGGTCTGTTTTTTATATCAAGGGAAAGGAATACCAAAAAATACACTAACATTTCCTATTCAGGGACTCTAAACCAGGCACTATATTATGTACTTTACGTGTATAAATTAGTTTAATCTCACCCCAAGCCTATAAATTAGGTATTATTATCACTACTTCAAAAAAGAATAAAAACCAAGGGGTGCTGAGATTAAGTTATTTTCACAAAATCATATTCCATAAAGGAAATAAACAGGATTTATACCTGATTTAGTCCCAAAGTAAAAGCCAGAGACATCTATGGAGAACTTACAAGTATCTGTTCTAAAATATTTACAGATATTTAATCCTTTCATAACTAATTTAATCCTTTCATAACATCCTGAGATTGATATTATTACTCTGTTTTCAGGGAAAAAATTCAGGGTTTCAAAAGTTAAGCGATTTGCCTGAGGTCTCCTAGATGGTATTTAGCAAAACTTGGATTTAAACGTAGGTCTCCTGCTGCCAGACACTACACACCACACCATTCACCACTCCACTCCCAGGCCTCTCTGCACCACATTGAATGGCTCTTTATCTGAGGCTCTGGTAGGGGACTATGAAAGAAAAATGTTGACAGATACTCTCAAGAAAGTAAAAACTCACTTCAACAAGGCATGCCCAAATCCATCGACCAGTCTGAAGAAAAGAGGGTCAGTGAGTAGACTTTCAATGTTCTTGCACCAAACCATTGTGATTCTTTAAACAATCTCAAAAGGGATGATTGCCCTGAAACCTTAAATTTGTCCTTTTCTCCCTCTTTGCTGTAGCTGGAGTTTAAAATTTTACCAGGTGATATTCTCTGACTAAGAAATGTTCCTCATACTTTCAACCTTGTGTAAATATTATACAAAAATAAGTGTATCAAGTTTGAGAAAAATATTAAAGTCAGATATATTTACTACCTACCCTCTCCAAAAACATATATAGAATTATAAGGCATATAGGAACTAGTTAAATCAAATTTAAATTTAAGATCAGTAGTCTATGAAGGGGATCAGAAAATGTCACTCCAAAATATGCCACTTTAGCATAAGGATTATTTTGAGCTTAAGGCAACTGAGAAATAGCAAACACAGGACAAACTCTCTCCTTCTCTTTTTTTGCCTAAAAGCAGGGTATAAATGTGTAAATTTCTCTTTTTAAAGGTATTCCCTCTGTGCTCAGGAGGAGGAAAACAACCATAATCACCCAATAGAAAGTTAATACTGAGTTGGGTCTGCATAACAAATCTTCCTAAAGAAATCTTATCTTTCATTAGCTTTTCCCATATATTTTCCTTTCCAAAATTTATCATCCTAGAAGCCCAGAGCCCCCTTCCTTTGTCTTGTCACATCTTCACAATTTATCACCCTTTCTTAAGATGATTATTTAAGTCCTCAATTCTAACTATCCCTTTGATTTACTCATCACTGAGTACATTGCATATGTAAATAAACTCAGTTTTTTTTTCTATTTATCTTTTGTCAGTATAATTTATGGGGCCTGCCAGGGAACCTGAGAGAGATAGGGGAAAACTGTTTTTCCTCTTCTACATCTATATTTGTATAAGCCTTTAGAAATCATTTAAAGACCAAATAATCTTTTAAAATAAAATTTTATGGATGCTTAAAAATGAGCAGAATTGGTTTGTTCAAAGCCAAGAACTTAGAAAGTGAACAAAGGTGGCTTTGAATCCTCTAGCTTTTCATAATCCCTGACTTATTTAGTTCAGGGGAAATAGGAAGATATGTTGAGAAGTTAAAAAGAAGTGAAGTTTTAAAAGAAAAGTTTCTTCTTTCAGTCAATAGGAGCTAAGAGAAGCAAGTCATCAGTATGGTTGGCATTATCTGGAAGGTTCCACTAAAGAGAGTAGACTAATCTAGGTGTTTAAAAATGAGGGGAGGAGGAGTGACTTTCCCAGGAACAGAAATGAGCACTCACAGGGGCAGTATTCATGACAGTGGTAAAGCCGGCCTCCTACGAGGAGAGAAAAATGAGATTGGACAATAGTTGGAAGAGGTCTCCCAACATCAGGACTTGATAGGGCAAGTATAACAACAACAACAAAAAAAAGGCGTTTGTGACCCTTAATGTCTCTTCATATCTTAAGATTTTCTCATCAAAATTATGAAAGTTATTCACGCTCAAGGCCCCAGTATTCTACCCCGAATGTTACCTCCACATTAAAGTATTATCATGCCTTCCTGTCTTGAGTTTTCTCAATTACTTGAAAAATGCCTAAATATTCCTTAGATGAAGTTTCTGTTCAAACATGATCTGACTCCAGCTATTTCACTTAGCTGAAGGACTCATTCTGAAAGGGCAGTAATTGTGTCTTGAATGGATTTCTTTAAAATATGTATATGGATGTCCATTAAACAATAAACATGACAACCTTCTGTTTTGAGTGCCTTATTGAATCCATAAGGTCGATTAGATTTTCAAATTAAGAACTGAGGGGAAAAATACCTTCCATCCTAAGAAATTTACAGAAATATTGCACTAATATATTTTAAAAATACTTCCCTTGTATTTTATAATCAAAGCACGTGAAGTATGTAATCTTCATATAAACAAATTAGAAGATTATGTGGAAGTACAATTTGAAAATTTTCATTAGAATGTAAGCTTTCCTTAAGATTTATAATTTTTTGCCTGCTCACATTTACTTTTCCTGTGGCCTAAAATGAATAGGTTACTAGGGTTGACCAATCTAATCCAGCATACAATTTCTGGCTCTTTTGTCATATCTCCTTTGATGTGATCTCTCTACAAAAAGTATTTGTCACATATGATCACACCAGGCTGACTTTGGGGTGGCGATTCTCCAGGATAATAATAATGATTATCCCTTCCTTTATTGCATTATAATAGTATTACAACAATATCAAGTCCCTACCATATGACACACAGTGTGCTCTGTGTATTACATAAACCGTGTCACTGAATTGTTGCAACATCCCAATAGGATACGTAATATTATTAACCCCATTGTATAGATGAGAACGCTGAGATGCAAAAGTTTAAGTGACTTGCCCAAGACTACCTGCCAGAAGTCAAGAAGGTAGGGCTTGACCTCAGGAATTCTCACTAAGGAGCCAGGGTTCTTACACCAGAGGGGAGGTATGTGCCAAGATCACCATTTTCTCTTATTGTGATCCCATTACACAAACAAAAACAAGATTTAAAATGCAAATGACCTTCAGAAAGATAGGATGTTTTGTTGGTATTTCTTAAAAGTGGGGCAATCACGATTCAGAGACTTGTCATATGCATAAATGGTAAAGCAAAAAATAAATCCATGGCAACGAAAAAAAAAAAAAGGAAGATAGGATGTTGTTTTAACATCATGCTAGAGTGTAAATGTTTAGCATCAAGTTCTTTCCTGGTAGCAAGGTCAAGAGAGCAATGAAAACATAAATGTCATAAGGGAAGGGGCTCAGGATAGAGCAGGGAGGATGGAGAAGAGGTGAAGGGAGGAGAGAAGAGAAGAGGAAAAGGGCAGGAAGAAAAGAGAGGGAGAAGCAGACAATGCTTCACTCCAGGCACTGCGAGAGAGCCAAGCATATAAAAATGGATGGGGCTTGCTCTCTGCTTGTGAGATTCTCATGGCCGGCCAAGGAGATGTGATTTAAAACAGGAACAAAGGAGGGCTCTAGAAAAGGGGTGGGAAGGGATTATTTATTCTTCAGTTAGTCCTATCTCCCTGGTCTACCATTCTCTGTGGCCTCTATAATTAGACATATAGCTTGACTTTCTCAGCTGCAGCTTCAAATGACCTTCAAAACGGAGCAGGTGGTTTTAAAAGCATGACAAATGGCATCTCCATGGATGTTGCACCAGTCATGGCTGGGTCTTGGCTCTACCTTCTAGGTCTGTTCCTAGGCCTGGTGACACCTTCCTGCTCACTTGGGCCAGTGCCCTGCTGCTCTGAATATACCACTTCTTCAACTCGATTCTCTCAGTGCTTAGGCACAAGGTTCTCACGAACTGACTTGGGTGTTCTCAGAGCTGCGTTAGATCATTTTGTGCACCCTAGCAGAGCTTTGGGAAACAAAACTGAACAGGCTTAGACTTAAAGGCATTCCAAATCTCCAGAGACACCGAATGATTATCTTGAGTATACTTTATTTCATTAATATAAACAGTTGTGGGGACTATATGGAAAGATTATTTTGTATAGTTCTCAAGATTTTTCTCCTCAAATACCTCCAAATTCCCAGTTCCCTTGCTTATCCATGTTCCCTCCCTCTCTTTCTCTCTCTCTCTCAGGCTCTCATAAACACACACGCACACAGACACTATTATTACCAGGATCATTCTCCTCATCTGCAAGATCAGATTGGGTGAAACCTCAATGAACAGAGAAGTCCCCCTCTCATCAAGCTTACAGCTGTGTGCATTCTCATGAATGCTAGTGCCTCCCAGATCAGAAAACTCTAGGAATAGCTTCCAAGATCCACTATAAGCTAGCAGGTGGTGAAACTGAAGGCCACACTGGAATTAAATAATTTGGCAAAAGGGACAAAGCTTTATGAAGAAGAACAAGAAGAAGATAAGGAAAAACAGGAAGAAGAAGGACGAGGAGGAGAAAGGGAGGAGGAGGAAGAGGAGGAAATTTCCCCCTACTTCAGCTCCAAACACAGAAATCTAGAGAGCTGGAAATGGAATCATTCCTCTTCTGGGCATGACATGTTTTCCAGAACTTACCATCAGTCAATGTATTACAGCTTATCTGCCTGAGATTGCTTATTTTCTTTTATTTCTGAAAATGAAACGGATTTCTATTTTCATTCTACCTATGTTATTATAATGCTGAAATTAGCTTGCATTTGTTTCCTGTTGCTGCTATAACAAATCACCATAACTTGGGTGGCTAAAGACAACACAAATGTATTATTTTACAGTTCTGGAAGTCAGAAGTCTGATATGGTTCTCACTGGGCTAACATCAATGAGTTGGCAGGGCTGCATTCCTTTTGGAGGCTCTGGGAAAGAATCCATTTTCTTGCCTTTTCCAGCTGCCAGAGGCTGCCTGGTTGTCTTGGCCCCTTCTCTTGTCAATGCCAGCAGCAACCAGTCGAGTCTTTATCACATTGCATTGCTCTGACATCGACTATTCTGCCTCCCTCTTTCCCTTATCCTTGTGATTACATGGGGCCCATCTGCACAATGCAGCATAATATTACTATTTTAAGGTGAGCTGATTAGCAACCTTAATTTTATCTGCAATCTTTATTATCTGTTTCCACACAACCTAAAATAGCCACAGATTTCTGAGATTAGGATATGCATCTTTAAGAGCCATTTTTCTGCTTATCATATAGCTGTATTATATTAATTATTTTTAACAGGAAACACTTCTTTAAATAAGAAAATATAACCTAAACTGAAATTCACAAAGACGGACTGTACTCCATTAGAAGCAAGCCAGTGAAGTGTGTGAGAGTACATGTGCATTATGATGTACAGAAAAAGAAAAAGAACCATACCTTTGAGAAGACAATGGCAGCTTTAATTAGCATTTCTATCTCTGAACTTGTAATTTTCACAGAGAGAAAGGACTCTGAGGAATGTACATTTCAAAATATTAAAAAGGAACACTAAACAATTTATAAAGTATAAGCTGATCATCAGACTGAGGAACACTCTACTTTCATTTTAATGGTCAGAGGCAATTATGTGTGAGCCCAAGCATGAAATAGGAGTTCCAGGGATAGAACCTGAGAGTGTGCAGGACTGGGATGGTGCTACTCCTTCACAGAATGTCCAGGAGGATCACAAAAGAGAACTTTATAACAGAGAAAAGGCGGTCACTCACACGGAACACTCTAATTAACTAGCTCAGCTGTCTTAGGCTGGATCAAACCAGAAATGAACTAAATTCTCCAGCTACAGGGGTTTTCATTTTTAGTTAAAGTAGACAATACTCTGAACTTGAGAAAGTCACAGACCATGACTTTCAGAGACTATTCATGGTGGTAACAAAACCGTAGAAAATGAGGGGCTTTATCCATTGAACACCCATAAGACTCTTTCTCCTAACACTGCTTGAAACATGCTGGTGTCTTACATGCTTGAGTTAAAAATCGACTCTAACCCTTTCTGAACATCTACATTTAGTCATGATGATTTGGGGGGTAATTCTACCTATATTTGTACTTTCACGGTCTTTGTCTCACTTATTCCTTTTAACAGTCCATTTCAAAAATGAGAAAGTTGAGACTATGAAGGTTTGCCTTACCCAAGGTTCAAAACGGTGGCAAAACTGGGTTTTAAAAACAGGGATTGTGGCTCCATGTCTGGTTTTGGATTCTTTTCTTCTCTAGTTTTTACAGAGAGCCCTTTCCGTGTTGGGTGCTGTGGTAAGCGATTTAGATTAGCAATTTATAAAATTGGGATATTAAAAAGTACCTATCTCATAGTGTTGGCAGGAATAATAAATGGGTTCATGCAGTTAAAACATTCAGGGCAGGTATATAGCAAGTGCTGCGTTTCTGAGAGTAATTATTATTATTTCTTCGGTAGCCATCTCTGAGGTATTTGTATTATTCTGGCCATTTGACAAATAAAGAAACTGTGGTTCAGAAGGGTTAAGGTGGTTGTTATGAAGCTGGTAAGTGGCTGAGCCTCGAACTTAGTTCTACCGTCAGAACCTATTTCCATTTGCACAAGGTAGAGCCACGTTGCCTCTCAGGTTTCAAAGAACCCACTCAGTCAGTCCTTGGCTCCCAGGCAAGGCAGAGCCTAAAGTAACTGAGCTGTGTAATTGCTTAATCTATTTGGTAAGATCCTCCAATTTCAGATGCTGCAGCTCAGTAATCGCTTCTTTATCTGAGGACTTTGACTTTCACATCATTTCCACCTCACTTCATCCATGCAGTTATGCATTCACTCTTCACAAAAGTTGACACTGACCATGTGCTATGCAAAATTCGCAAGAAACTGCGAGGGATAAGTACTGGGAAGAAGCTTACACTCTTGGAGGGAAGGGAAGAAATGTACATAAGTTATTGAACTGAACAAGAATATTAGTTTCCATGAGGAAATGTGTTTAAAATGTGGTGGCATTTCAGAAGTAAGAGAGAAGCAGGAAAGTTAGAGGTTGAAGTTGATCCCGGAGTGCTCCATGGAGTCTGAGTTTGACTGTGAATGGCAGTTCAATTATTTCTTCAGTGGGTCAATCAACATTTATTGAGTGTCTACTATGTGCTAAAAAATGCAAGCCCCCCAGTTATGGTATAATCCAATCAACATACCCTGTTGGCTCCACTTCCAAAGCACACTCTCTATCTGATCACTTCTCACCAACCCTGTTAACATATAGGCCAAGACACCATTCAACAAATTCCCATCTGATTTTTCTGCTTTCACTTTCACACCACTATGGTTTATTTTTATACGACAACCAAATTAAAGAGCATACCTTTCATATAACTTTCCTAGCCCCTAATAGCTATCATTTATATTACGGATGCATTCAAACTCCTTGCTGTGTTTTGGGACTTTGATCTTAATTCAGATTCATCCTCTCCTAAACCCCCTCATCACAGTTCTATCCCCACATAGTTTTTGAACCATTGAATAAACCAAGATTATTCCCACCTCTGGTCTTTGTGCTTTGTGATCCCTATGTGGCATGTTCTTTCCCTTACCATCTCCTTCTTTCTCTTTCTTGTCACTCAGTTCTAGTGTCGAAAATGTTGCCTTCTCAGAGAGGCCCTTCCTGACCACTGTATCAGCAATATTCTGTGTCTCTGTCACTACTGCCCACTCAATCTCTATCACATTGCTGTTTTTTTCTCTGTAGCACTCACCACTCTTCATGAAATTTATCTTTTTCACATTTCTTAGCATATTAATTTCCCATTTCATCCCACTTGTGAACATGTTCCCTGCACATGTGCCCCGTATCAACCTTATTCATCACTGAGTTTCCAAAAACTAGAGGAGAGTTTTTCAGTTGCACAGTTTCCATAACTATCTGTTGAATGAATGAATGACATCAGGCAGGGTTCTTCTTTCATTCAGGCATTTGAAATCACATGAATTGTATCAGCAACTTCATAATCAGAGATTAGCAAGTAACTTCATTAATTTCATTTTATCGTGCAGTGGATTCAAAGGGGAGTTCATCAGACTGGAAATGGGCAGGCAGACTATGAAGAATTGCAAGCATCTATAAGAGAGTCGAATGATGAGGATCTGATGAACGTTTCTGAGCAATTGAGTGGCATGATCATAGCCATGTCCTGTTTTCCTCATCTGGTAATAACTAAAAAAAGAAAAGAAAAGAAAAGCAACCAAAACCTTGAAGGAAAAGAAAAAAGAAACTCGAAACAGAATAGGTGATTGTAATGGTCTAAGCTAGAGGTCATACCAGTGGGTAGAAAGGGATGGGACACAGAAACTAGCAAAGCTACAGAGCTGAAACTGACAGAACACGGCAGCCAGTGTGAGGCAGAAGTGGAGGACAGGGGACCTCAAGGGTGATCTGAACTGATTGTGAAACATGAGGATTTATTTGTCAATATCTCACTGGCTCTGACTAGCAAAACAATTAAAAAGTTAGTGGGAATGTATTGTAAGGAAGCTGTGATAACTCAAGAACTTAAAGAAAGAACTGAACAACCAAGACGTAGGAAAGGAGAGAAAAATAGAAGCTGTGGGTGACCTGCAGCTGTAGTTCACTCACCTCTTCTTGAGTAGGCTACCCTTAACATGCTTATCTCTAGTACTCTTGACCATGGCATATACCCACCTCCAAATTTCAAACATCAAAGAGAAAGATTCTACTTGGCCCAAGGCAAATACTCTTGGATCAATCCATTGTAGCCCGAAGGCATGGCATTGAGTGCAGAAGAGCATTGGAAACCCACTTCTATGATCTGGGGTCCTTTCAGGACAAAGAAAACCCTGGAAGGGCCAGATAGCTGCTCCAAGTTACCCCTGAATAAAATTAGACACAGGAACATACAGGGAGGTGGAAATAATTGAACTTTTGATAAAGTTGTGTTTGAGAAACCAGCAGGGAATCCAAGTAGAGCTGCTGAGCGGATAAGTTATTATAAAATGTGGAGCTATGCCTTGGGAGAGGGGCCAAAGATAGAAATAAAAATCTGGGATTGATCCATATAAAGGTGATAATTCAAATGACAAGCGTGAATGAGATATTCAGGAGAGAGAGAGAGGTGTAGAGAGAGATAAGAGCAAAGAATGAACCTTCTAGGAGCAAGAGAAGCCAAGTGTGCCAGAGCAGGATTGGTGAGAGACATCAAAGGAGACCTTAGAATATAATATTTTGTGAAAGTCAGGAGAGCAGAGAGCTTCAGAGAGAGGATGGCCCATTGTGTTCAATGTAGAAACCCTATTATTTGCAAGTTAAAGTGTAGTCTTAGAACCAATAAGCTTTGGGCAAGTGTGTGTACAAGGGGTGTTTGTAGGTGTGTGTACATGTGCAGAGGACTGGAGGGCAGGGGTAGAAGGGAAAAGTAATGATAAAAGGAATTTTCAACTATAACATATAATCTACAATAAAAGCCTATAGCTGCACTATCAGAGAAGACTTGTGTAAGACAGCTAGACTTTGCTTTTGCATTATTTTGACATGGTTAAATGAATAGAATGAATAGGTAAGATAAAATAGATCTGAGGTCCTTTTGCCTACTGAAGTAGTCTTTAAGTCTAAAATAGTGGAAGGCTGAAGTTTTAATCCATATCTCATTTCTTTTAATATTCTGGCTTAGAATTGAGGAAACCTTTGTTTCTTCAGCAGTGGTAAGAGATGAGGACAGGGTCATAGACCAGCATAAGCATAATAGCTCTTTGCAAAGAAGTACCCAAAATGAAGGATGACTCAATACCTTGACACTAATATGAATAAAGCCTACAGTCTGTGTACTTAATCATAAAGTTCTTAAGCTTTTCCATTCAATCCAAGACAATTCGACATGTACTACTGAGCATCCAGTATGTCCTTAACTTTGATCCAGGCACTGGGGATATTACATGCATAAAGTGAGCTAGCCACTGCTCTCTTGAAATCTACAGTCCAAAGGAGAATGCAGAAAAGTAAGGAGGCAGTTATTAAATATTGTAGTGAGAGCAAAGGTGGTTCATCATGAGAACTCATTAGACAGACACTTAACCCACACTTGGTTCTAGACAGGTTTTCTGAAAACAAACAAACAAAAATACATCGTCTGAGCTAAGATCTTCAATATAAGCAGAGTCAGACAAAGATGAGAAAATGTGTTACTGGTAGGGGGAACAGTAGGTGTAACAGCTTGGAACCAAGAAGGAGATTATACTTCATCTAAGACTAAAGCAAGAGCAGGGCCCTGAGTGAGTTTGGGAAGGAGCAACACAGAGTGGATGCATTGGAGGGATGACTGGGAATAAATCACATTTCAACACAGGGAGCTATTAAGGTAAACAGGAACCAGAGCACAAAAGGCTCTGTTAAGCGCACTAAAGGAGTTTGCTTTTTAAATCTTGAGGACACACGGGAACCATTGAAGGGTTGTAAGCAGAAGTACAAAAGCATCAGATTTCTGCTTTAGAAAGATCACTATGGTTGCTGTGTGGACAATTGATTGAGGGTTTGGGATGAGCGTGGCTGATCTAAAGGCAAAGAAATTAATTAAGAGGCGATTCCAGAATTTCAGGTAAGATATGAATTAGGAATGTGGCCAACTGGCTGGAGAGATTTGGATGGATGTGAGAGACACACAGGTGATGGAAACTGCAGATACTGTGAACCAATTAACCATGAAAGCTGAAGGGGGAATGAGTCCAAGATGATATTCAAGTTTCCAGAAAAAAAGTTAGCATCTCCAGTTGAAAGTTAAGAGGTTACTTGCAAAACTAATTGCAGTATAAAAGACTAACAGACTGGTGCATACAGATTTGAAGCAAGAAGGAAGCAAGACTTGTACAACACAATTCGGAATTTGCTAGTACAGGCAGCTTAATCTCTCCAGAATGTTCATCTCTACCTTTGGATTACTCAGTCATATTCAAGGAATGGAGCAAAAGAGAATTGAGAATATGCATGCAGTAGGTAAGTATTTGTTCATGACAATTTAAAATCAAATGCTTTTGCTGTGTGGACTCTTCCCACCTCCACCTGTCTCAGAATAGTGAATTCTCCAGGTAGGCATACAACCCCTATTCCAGCAGATGCCAAGCTGAAGAATCTGCAGCTACAAATCATTAGCAAATACATTTGGCCAACTCTCGGTACCTTACTACCACCACTTAGACCAAAGCCATCATCCTCTCCTTCATGACTGCTGTAATTAGTCATCTCAGCCCTTGCCTCCCCACATCCTATTTTACAGAAAGAAAAGCCAGACTCGATCTTTTAAAGCACAGGTCAAATCCTGTGACTCTTCTGCTCAAAAACCTTCCAATAGTTCACATTTTTCTAAAATTAAAAAATAAAAGCCCATTAAAATGGAGTATGAGTCTTTTATGATAACTGTCTGATTTCATCTCTCACTCTCTACCCCTTACTCACTCCAGCTACAGTGTGCATTGATCATAGTGGACACACTTCTACCACAGGGCCTTTGCAGTTGTGGTTTCCTTACCTATACCTTAGTAAGAAGGCACCTTATCCAAAATTACAATCTTCCACTCCCAATTCTCCCTCACCTTTTTCAAACCCTTTAATACTTCTTAGCAATTACCACTATCATACAGACTATATATTTTCTTTATCTTGTTTTCCATACTTGACTCTAAATGCCATTAGGCAGAATTTTTCTCAGCTTTGTTTACAATCCCCAGCACCAAGCACAGACTTGACAGGTAGAAGGTGCTTGATAATGAGTTGATGAATGTTGCTGTAATATCTACTCGCAGCCACAAACAATCTCCTTCATAAGCACACATGGTTTTCCCCTTCATTAACATAAATAGATGCAATACATCACCCTTAAATAATTCGTACTGAAATGTAAATAGAGAAAAATATTTTGCAGTTTTCCTTTAGGAGAAAACACTATGAAATTGTTTCATAAATTGCTTATGAGAAAACTGAAAATGTAGTTAAGTAAGCAAAGTTCAAAAATAGTTTGAGCTCTAACAAAACATTATTAACCTGCCTTCCCAGGCAGATGGGTGCTGAAATTGAGAGCTCTGAATGTTTCTTTTTGAGTGTCCAGATGCATCGGCACAGTACATTTTAGTTTTGAACTGGGTGGAGCTGAATTGCTCTTCATCACCCAGGAAGGTAGAATTTGCGCTGCCCTCCCTCCTCCTGTTTCCTGCCTCTTCAGTGATCATGGTTCTGTGAGTGATAAAAAGGAGGAAAATGAATAAATAGGAGCCAGAGAATGCATGTTCCTTAAGAAATGACAACAATAATTTATGGAGTCCCTAGTCTGTTCAAGATATGATAGCAGAGCCCTCACATATATTTTCGTGTTTAACTGTCACAAGGACTCTGTGAGGTGTATATTATCTGCCCTTAACAGATAAGGAAACTGAGAGAGTTTTAAAGTGCTTTCATTTTTGCACAAAATTTGCTGGCACTGGGATGGAATCTCATCTGACCCGCTGCAACACCTTTTTCTCCATGAAATGCTCCGTATTTGTTCTTGGACCCTCTGTTTCCTTCTTATCCCAAAGCAAAAGACATATTTCCCCCAGAAATAATTTTAGGAGTGGTAATTTGGTTTCCAGGTTAAGTTTATTAAAAACTCTTTGTAATGCATAATACAGTTGAAAGAGCAGGATTGTTTCTATGGAAATAGGAGCTGGGAGCTCTAAACTGCCCGCTTAACGAATGAACTTTGGGGATATAATCAGTTTCCCTCTTCTCTGAGGAGATAAATAGGCGGCACTGTTCAATTACTCAAACTCATTCCGCCTTTCATCTTTCCGGAGAGCGTTTACTGTGGCTGCATTTTCTCCCACCACTGAAATACAAAAGCGGCGAGGTTTTCCACTGCACAAAGTAAATGAGACCGAGAGCCAATTTCTCATCTCAGACACTGCAGTTCTCAATGTGCATTCTGTAAGCTCCGAATGTGACTATAAACACATCAGCCAAAACAAACTGTAGTTTTTATAGAATAAGCCTGGGAGAATGTTTTGCTGAAACTTAACACCTCTTGTCTAAGAAAAGGCAGCAAGAGGAGAATAGCTCATACTGCATTCATTGGCAGTGCTGTATCCCATACAAAACCTCACAGGACATAATCAAGACATATGGTTTCATCTTTCTCTCTTTGTCACTTCCCAAAAGTGAGGTGTTTAAGAAAGCTGAGAACTCTTCCTAGCCAATTCAGAATGGGATTGTCTATAGCAATGCTATTCAAAGTACCTCATCAGCAATAAATAAAATGCAATTTTCAGGCCTACCCCAAACCTACTGAATGAGAATCTCTGGGGTGGGTGAAGCAATCTGTGTTTTACAAGCTCTCTAGGTGACTGAGATGCAAGCTCAAGCTTGAGAAGCATAAACTAAAGGGAAGGGATTACACTTTGACTCAGAAGAACAGGGTTCAAATTCCTGGGACATCAATTGATAATTATTTAGGGATAAATCATTTAACCTTTCTGGCTTTCATGCTCCTTATCTGTAAAATAAATGAATCAAACTAATTTATTCCTGAATTGTCTCTCAACCTAACATCAGAGAATCTCATGATTACGTGATACTGGTATAAACGTACCCTGCATAATCGAAGTTTTGGGCATCATTAGCTGAGTGATCTTATCTCTCCTAGCTAGTGTAATAGCAACAATAGCAACAACATCTGGGTGCCTCCTATGTTTGTATACTTTGTCCTGAATTTGACGAATGTTTGACCTACTAATGTCCTTTAGTAGTGACCATCTCCATTTTAGCACAGAGGAAGCAGAGAGAGGTTATGTAACCTCCTGAAGGTCAGTCACAAAGAAAGAAAATTACAGTGGGTCAAGATTTGAATCCAGGTCTGATTTCAAAAATCCATGTTCCCTCCTCTCTGCCAAGCAAGATCTATCTTCCCAGAACTGGTAGCTTTCAATGAAAGAAGGAAAAAACAAACAAACAAAAAAACACTACAGTCCACAAGGTGGGGCTAGGCCAACTTCATTTCTCTGAGCAGTGTGATTCCTTTAAGTATATAAAGCAATTACTTTGAATACATTTAACACATGTATTGATTTCATATAAAAGCCACTTTACCTAAGAGTGATCAATAAACAACAAGGCTTGTAGTTGTACTAAACTGCTGATTTATTGACAGCTCTGAGATGTTCTGTCCTTAGTGAAAAGATGCAAAAAGCGGAAGCTGGAGAGAACTTTGGAAAGCTTCTAGCTTAAAGAGTTCATCACAGGCAAAAGAAAATTTAGAACTAGAGCAGTCCAATAATTTGTCCAAGGTCACACAGCTGGTGAGTGGCAGGAATATGACTAGAGGGTGTCTTACCACCCACCTGAGCTAGTGCTACTGCTGATATCATTTTATTAAATCAAACTAGATATTCTTTTTTCAGGCATTCTTTTGTCAGTAACATTTCATACATCCATCTTCAAAGGAGGTTTATGAGGAATACTCATAAACTCAGAGTCTTAAGTGACAAGCAAGAGTTATTCAAGCTAATGCAGTTAAGACAATAATTCTGGATAGAGGCAAGAGCCTAGTTCAAGGTATGGGGTTCTGGAAACACATGATGTGTTTGGGGGAACTATTAGAAGTTCCATCTACTAACAAATGAGTAAGTACAAATCAGGAAGGAGTGAGAAATGAGACTAGAGAGATATGGGGCGGCCAGGTGATGGAGGGCTGAGTATGTCGTTCTAAGGTACCTGAAATTCATAGGGAGTTACAGAAGAATATGTGTGGGGGAGAATGACATGATCAGATTTGTACCTTAGCTCTCTTTGGCTACAGTATGGACTTAAGGGGTGAGGAAACAAGAAAGGTACAGTATCCAAGACCAATGACAGTGAGATGGGTTAGCCTTATAACATTCCAGGCAATAGAAAGGAAAGCCTGTGCAAAGTCAATTCTGTGAACAATGAAGTAGAAGAGGAAGAATAAAAAGATTTTTGGACAGTTAAAATGACCAAGACACAGTGCTTGGGTAAATTAAAAAAGAGAGAGTCTACAGGTGACTTTTGAATTTCTAACTTGTGTAACTTATGGATGGAGATGAGGTGGGGAGGACAAGGAGGAATACATTTGGCCATGTGGAAATAGTCAACCTAGCGTTGAGTTCATTGTATCCTTGCATCATCACTATCAAGATATCCTGAAGAGACAGCCAGTTAGGGGTGGGGAACCTGCAGCCTTAAGGCCATGTGTGGCCTTTCTAGGTCCTTAAGTGCAGCCTTTTGACTGAATCCAAATTTTATAGAACAAATCCTTTTATTAAGAGTGGTGCAGCAGAAAAAGATGAAGATTTTCTTGCCTCTTTTGGTGCTTAAAAAAAAAAAAAAACAATCTTGAAATCAGAAAGCCGCAGGTCAGAGTCCTGGAGAGCATTATAGCATTTTTCTAAAATGCTATGGAGAGAGAACAAAGAAGTTGGAAAGGGAAAGGGAAAGCCTTGTGTCAAAAAGCCAAAGTAATTTTTTTTCACATTTAATGAATGATAATTAGTTTCAGATGCATAGAGTGCCATTAAAGCAACAACTGATTTCATTTTCACAATATGGATTTCGTTGGTCCAGAAGGGCAGTGAAGATGGAAACTCAGTTGTGTGGAGACATTGGATACTGAATTGGAAACAAGTGTGTTTCTGTTTTAAGGGATTAAAAAATGTAAAGTGGGTGAGGATGTAGGCATGGAGTGGTATAAGTATAACATGAAAACATTGAAGAGCCAGCAGAGAGGAAGAAGTTAAAGTAGAGAGAGATGGGGCAATCCGTGCAACATCTCTGAAATGAACAGATCAATAAGGCATTAGTTGGCTTTGGCTTAGAGAAATTTTAACTCATGTGAATTGCAAAATTATAGACCTTTTCATATTAAACATGGTATTATTATGAGAGTAATGCTACACTATAGCTGGAAGTTCCTTGTAAACCACCAGGGGTTCCCAGATGATAATGTTAACTGCAGGTCAGATGTCCGGAAAGACAAGGAGTTTCTCCTGACACCCATCTGGTCACATGCAGGGGCTCAAGACACAGACAAAGCCAGCCACATGCCTCCGCTGACACGGCAAGCCGGTTACATCTCTCTCAAATACCGGGAGAATATACTCTTTGGCAGCATAGGTATGATATCAATAAACTAATAAAACTAATCAGTAATCCTTGGGCCCTTCCCATTTTACCCATTTATTGAAATGTTTCCTAAATAAATTCCAAAGGCTTAATGACAGAAGGCTTTAACTATTTCTATTCTAACTAACATATAGATGGTTAAGATAATTTATATTTAATATTTATTTATTTCATGAACTTCCTTGAGACACAGTATCTATTTATCTGTCTTTCTTTTTTCTATGTATATGTATATAGCTTTCCTGGGAGCTCAGACTAAATGAGCTCCCAAATTATGCAGAACAAGAGGACAAGTTTGATGAATTTCACTACGAATGTAGTTTGGCACAACTTTATTTGAAAACGAAGTGAGGGGGCTGATATCCAGCATTCTTGCATGGTTAGAATATAGAGTGACTTTGGATATAGTGAAGGGGAAAGAACAGGTCCTCAGCTAGCTCCTTCATATACCTTCTTATTTAATCATAGCAGTATCCCTGCCAGGGAAGTACTATCCAATTATTTTGATTCTAAAACACACTGTTTCTCCTGACATTTTTTTTCCTGAAATTTATATGTGAATTTCAGTTGACATACTCATTGAATATGGTGTTTATCTCCCCACCCCCAAAAGTGGTTATATCAACAAGATAGTAATACAGAGCCTTAGGATGGAGGAGATTGAGGCATAGAGAAGTTTATGGATCTCACCCAGGGGCACAAACTGGAATTAATAGAGCCAGGATTTAAACTCAGGTCTATCTGATTTGAAAGCTGGTCAAGAGCAACTATTTATTTGCGGTCTACTATGTGATACAGGCACTATTCTAGGTCTTGTTGTATAGCAGTGGGTAAGACAGAACGTTCCCTCTAAAAGCCTGCATTCCAGAAGAAGAGATAGATGTCAAACAAGCAAACAAATAGAAAAAAGAAATTTAGATACTCGGTAAACACCACAAAGAAAATAAAACAGGGTAAAGTGATATAGGCATATTGAGGAGTTGCTTCTTGCAGGCCTCTTCCAGGAAGTAATAACATCTGAGTTTCTTCCCACCTTTATAAAATGCAGCAACAGCACCTATGACATGGATGGAAGAAAAGGAACTACAAAGGCCCTGAGATAAGAAGGCACTTGCTCTTGAGCAACAAAAAATCAAACACCGAGACTCCTCATTGTAAGCCCTAAGCATCACCCTTCCAGGGCTCATAATCTACCCATAGAAACAGATATGTCAAATGACACATGATGGTATTATATGTTCAGAGCTATGATGGTGACATGTGTAAGTTACTATGGAAGCATGGCAGAACAGAAGCTTGCTGTGGGTAGAATGAGTGTGTCCAGGTAGGAGGTGGGGGTTGAGCTGGGTCTTGATGGAGAAGCAGGATTTTCCTGGGACATGAGGCTGGCAGGGGATGGGTATGCAAGGTTCCCAAGAGAGGACAGCCCGTGAAATGGCAAGGAGGGCTGAAGGAACGTGGCTTCACTAGGTGCATTGTCATGGCTGAACTAACTTAGGGTTCAGGATGGGGCATGATAAGGGGATGTTCTCAAGAAAACGTAGTGCCTGGAAATGATTTAGCTTGGCAAGGCCTCACAACAAATTCTTCTCTCTGTTCTTAAGGACAGTGTCACTGAAAATATTCCAAGTGAATTTCCTGGCAGTGCCTGGCTGACTTTCCATGATCTCTTGATGAATAAGGTGAAAGGTAGACTGCTGAAGTCAGTGGTCCTCAGCCCTGAATGCCCATTAGATTCACTAATGAAATTTAAAATAAATATGACTAAAAATTTAAAAATTTTGAAAACATTTCTGAACAATTAAATCAGTAGGTCTGGGAATAAAGTCCGGACATTAGGAGGTTTTCAGAACTCTTCAGGTAAATCTAATGGGCAGCTGGCATTGAGAGTCACTGTTTCCAGAAGGCTTAAAAGGGAAACTGAGTTCTTCTGAAAGGCCAGGACCCCTCACACATGGCAGCACCAGTCCAAGAAGAAGGCATCCAAGACAGGAGAAGGAGCTGGCAAGGATCGATTCTGGGACTGGCAGCATTCATGCTCCAGGATTTAGAGAAAGTCATTTTGAAAGCAAAGCAAGTGAAAGAAATGTAATCATTATGCAACCAGGCTCTGAAGTCTAATGGAGAGATCTGAACTTAATGGTGCCCCGAACACTTCTCAGTAATTATCTCAGAAGAAAACAATGGTGCCAAAGGGAAGCCCTGATTTTGAACAGTCCCAGGCGACAGTAAATGAGAACTAATCTGACTAAGAAACCAATTGTGAGTCATCCCCTGACTTTCGTTTCAGTAATGACACCTGAAACACACTTGTTTGTTCTGTAAACCTTAGTTAAACAAAGTTACCCTCCAAGACACTGGGGGTTTGCCAGGGAACAGTTAGTTTAATTGGAACTCATCTGTTTTTGTTTCTAATGAGTCTCCCATTTCATAGCCTGCCCCTAGATTGAAAGAAAATGTCCCCCCTGTCTGGGATGATTAAAAACCTGGTTAAGCATAGAATATATAGTAGCTGCCAAAATGTTTCTACCCAGCCAATACTGCTCAGAACAGAGGCCTGCAGACAGGATTGGAATAGAGAAAAACTGTTGATTGCTCTAGCTCAAAAAGGAAAAAAAAAATCACATCCAATCAAGTTATATAAGTTATATTTTTGTTAAAGAATCCACCTTAGAACTGCATTCACTTCTCAAGGTTTGCTAACAAACTTTCCTGCATCCTACCTTTTAACTGTCACTTTTTGTTTTCTAGTTGTTTTTTTTCATTTGAAGAATGTAATAAATAACTTTGAGAATCTATTAAGTCTTACAATGCTTTGGCTGAAATTAGGCTGTCTATTGTACTTGCCAAAAAGCTGCTCTGTGCTATAAAATCTTTGTAAAAACATAATTATTTACAAAATTACTTATGGGTTAGAATAAATGCAACTTCATCTTGCAGCTATGGGCATTTTTCCTTTTAGGAAACAGCAAGGTGCTAATCATTGGGTGTTTCATTAGGAGACACATTTAATTTAATTCTCTAAGCACCTTTGTTCTCAGACTCCCACGTCCCTTTTATCCTCCCCTAAAGATCAGGATCTCAGGATTTCTGCTGTCTGCCTTATACATATTGCAAGCTAACTATTGCAGTAAGAAAAATCTTTTACCAATAACAAAAGAGCAGATGTTTTCTGGATCATAAGGATCAAATAGAGTGAGCTAATTTGCTCATTGATCTGTAGCTCTTAGTCATATGAAAAGCTGATTAAAAGTGTGGAACTTTTAGAAAAGACAAATACACACACATTATTATATGCACAATAATCTTAACTATAAGGGCTGGGCTTTGCAGCATGTATACATAGCATCTGGCCTAGTGGTTGGCCATGGCTGATACTCAATAAAAATTTGTTTAAAGACTGAATGAATAAATGACTGAATGAAACTTCAGGATAGGTTTGGATAGCTTTGAAAGCTAATTTCAGTAAACTCTCTGTTTAGAGCCTGCACCATGAATGAAAATTGTTCTGAAACAGAATTCTCCTGATTTCTTTTCTGGTTTTGGAGACTTTCTCTCCTTTTATATGTTAAAGGTTGACCGCCTCCTTACTTCCCACACAATTAACATCTGGGGAGGGCAAACAGGTTGGATTAGGTTTTTTTTTTTTCCTTCTTTATTTTATTTTATTTTTTTCCAGCATATTATGGGGGTACAAATGTTAAAGTTACATATATTGCCCTTGTCTCCCCTCCCTCCTCGAGTCAGAGCTTCAAGCTTGTCCATCCCCCAGTTGGTGCGCATTGCATTCATTATGTATGTATATACCCATCCCCTCCCCCCCCCACCTGCTTGACACCCAATAAATGTTATTCCTATATGTCCACTTAGGTGTTGATCAGTTAATACCAATTTTCTGGTGAGTACATGTGGTGCTTATTTTTCCATTCTTGGGATAATTCACTTAATAGAATGGGTTCCAGCTTTAGCCAGGAAAATACAAGATGTGCTATATCACCATTGTTTCTTATAGCTGAATAGTACTCCATGGTATACATAGACCACATTTTATTGATCCACTCCCTCTGTGAAAGAGGCTGGAATTTATTATAATTCTCTACAAGAA